AATACCCTTATATTTCTACATGACTCTGTATTGGTAATTTCCTACTATACACACCCTAGCATATAACAAGAAAAGAAAGAGGGATGGAACTTGTGGCTGTGTGCATTTAGACTAAGTGAACCAATAAGGGGTAGTATGATAATTTATTATACAGTGAAAACATGAATAGATTGAAATCAAACTTAATAGGAATATGAATATCCATATGTAGCAAGTGTCTAAAAACAAAGAGAATCTATTAAGGAATTTAGAATGTTCAAAACTTCAACCAGAAAGAAAACAGCATTGAGAACGCAAATTTGGTTACAATTCTGCACATTAATTCTTCCAGTAAAACTTCCAGCAAAGAAATTTAGAGCATAGCTGAAGGGAAAAATATGAGATAAAACAGAGAAGCCTGAACCAATTATTAACCATCTTCTATGTGATATGCGCACTGAGGAAATTATATGGATGTACACATCATGTCTGAAATGAAGATTCAAACATTCTCTTGACATAGGAAGAAAGAAAATAGGCAAACAAACAAAGTCATAACAGTAAAAGGAATTTCATGAAAGAAGCTAAAAATGATTTACAAAAAAAAAAAACAAGGATAAAAAGGGGACAGACAGAAAGAAGTGTTTGTGAACTATTTCAGAGCAAAATTCCATCACATTCAGCAGGCACAAATAATGAAAAAGGAGAAGCAAATATAGCTTCACACCAACATGAAGAAGTAAACGCGAATATTTACAGGCCATACAGCTAAACACATAAGACAACAGATTAAAGGTATAAAAACAGAATGTGCATATAAATGCATAGGGCGAGGGAAAAAGAAAAGAAACAACAAACACCATAGGAACAAAAGCTACTTAGTGAAGGAAGTACTCAAAGAAAGCTGAGAACAAGAGGACATGGCATTCTGATCCAGGCGGGGTGAGAAATTTGTGTTTAGTTCCAGAAGGACAGCGGATCAGAAAAGTAGCAGGGAAAAGGGAAACAAAAAAGAAGCACTCTGAGTCAGAGCAAGAGCATGTGGGACCGAAAAAGTCCTTCCTGTGGAAGGTGGGTGCTGGATGTGTGGTTTAAGCAAAGGAGGACAGGGAGCTGCCCGGCGGAAGAGCCATCCTCCTGGATGAATTTCCAATTGGCTGGAACAGAGAGCAAACAGGCAGCGCAAGGCTGATAGTGAATCGAAAAAAAAACCCTTTGGGACCTTCTTCATCTAGCTGATCAGCAATGCTCTATCCCACCCCCACTTTCATTGAAGGCTCCCCGAACCCAGATCCCGATCCCTGCTCTAGCTCCCAGTTCCCACCACAAGGAGCAAGGAGTCTAGGGCTCCCTGAACACACCACTTCCACAATCAAAGAAGAAAAATCCCAAACCAAACAAAGTAAGACTCCCTGGAATTTGGAGCCTCCACATTTCACTCCCCAGGGCCCCCTCCTCAAACACACAACCCCAACAGGAGTCCTCTGTTCAACCAAGTCGGTTTTGAGCTAGGTTCCAGGCTAAGTCGGGCTTGTGGGCCAAGGGCAGGTAGGAGCAGGCCTCACAACGGGCTATGTGTGGTGCCAATTTCCATAGGCATACTGAGGTTAGGATAGAAGAACGGTCAACAAAGTCCCTAAGTGCACTATTAAAGCAAAAGAAATGAAAGGATCTGAAGCCTTGCTATATGAGCGCGCGTCCCCTGCCGGCCACTGATTGTAAGGTGAGGAAGCCTAAAGGAGGCTCCAGGAACTCCTGCAATGTTGGTGGGGAAGCACTGGTTTCTGGTTCTTCTGGACTTCCACCAGAGGCAGCAGGTGCCACATGTGGAGCTTAATACCAATACGAGGAGCCCAGAGAGAATCTTTTGCCATCATGTAGATGAAGACATGAGACAGCCGATTAAAATTTTAAAAATAGACGGAACCTAGAAATACATATGGTGAGGCAACAAGAGAAACGACAACAAACAGGGATGAAGCCAACCATCCATAGCTACCTAGTGAAAGGATTTCTCAAAGGAAGCTGAGACATAGAGGACATGGCCTACTGATCCAGGAAGCGTGAGTAACTTGTGTTTTATCCAGAAGCACAGAGGATCTCACAAGCAGCAGAGACAGGACTACAAAAAGGAAGCATTCTGAGTCAGAACAAGATCATTTGGGATCGGAAATGCCCTTCGGGTGGAATGTGGATGGTGCCTGTGGGTTTTAAGCAATGGAGGACAGGGGGCTGCCCAGCAGGAGAGCCATCCTCCTGGTTGAAGATCCACTTGGCTGGGTCAGAGCCACTCCTCCAAAGGACTGAGCAGAGCATGTCCTGACCAAGTGCCCTCTCTGGAATCCTGTTTCTGTCCATGACCAGCTCTGGTCTATCCCACCCCTGCTTCCACTCCTGGCTACCCATCCCTGCTGCCAGCTCCCCACTCCCCGTTGGCTCCTGGTTCTGGCCTCAGGCTCCCTGCTCCCTGCTCTCAGCTCTATGCTCCCTGCTCCCCACTCCCAGCTCCCTGTTCCCACCCAGAGGGAGAAAGAAGCCAGGGGCTCCCTGGACACACCACTCTCACAAACCAGACCAGAGAAATCCCGAACCAAAGTAATGCTCCCTGGGATATGGAGCCTGCACATTTCACCCCTGGCTGCCCACTACCACCTCCCTGCAATGTGTCCTCTGTCCAACCAAGTCCATGTGGAACCAGGTTCCAGACCGAGGTCGGCCTGTTGGCCGAGTCTAGGAGGGAGCAGGCTGGAAAATGTGCTCCAATGTGGTGGCCTCTGGTGACATGACTCAGAGGGAGCCTTCGCCAGAGAACTGTCAAGCTTAGCCCTGACGTACACTATTAAAGCAAAAGCCATGAATGGGTCTGAAGCCTTGCTTTGTGCGCGCACTCACCCTCTTCCTGCCAGCTCCTGAATCCTTACACTTGGGCATGCTGCCTGTGCTCCCTCTCTTGCTGGGGCTGACGCTGGGCTGCAGCAAAGACTGCTCTCTTGACAGGGGCGCCTTCTGGAGCATGCACTCTCAGCGAATTGAAGCTCTAGGATTCTTACGAAAGCTGAAAATCATGCCGGTTGTCCCGTGCCTGCAGGACAGAAACGATTTCAGATGTCCCTGGAAAAAAGGGCCTGTCACCCAAGGGATGCAGAGAGTAGAAGCCACCTGTTGTCTATCTGAGATGCTGGGGCAGGTCCTCCACCTCTTTGCCACAGAGGCCAGCAGACGTGCCTGGCCAGAGACGATGCTCCGTCAACTTCTCAATAGTCTGTTTTATGCCCTGGAAGCCTTGGAGGGGACAGGGGAGCGAAGACTGTCCTGCCCGCCTACTTTTGTCTTGGCCATCCGCACCTACTTCTCACGAATCTCTGGCTATCTGGAGGGTAAGCGATTCAGCCCTTGCTCCTGGGAGATTGTCAGAGCAGAAATGCAAGTGGCCCTTGCCACATTGCCTGTGCCTCCAGAGAGAAGCCCCAAGAAGAGAAGAATTGCCATGCCTGAATCACCACTGCAGTGACATCATGCTAGGGGCCTCAAGTTACAGCACACAAGCAAAGTCAAATATGCAACCAGATGAAAGAGGTCTGAGACCAAAAAGAGGATGAGATGATCATCCACGTGTTTTGAAGTATCTTCAGCAGCAGCCTCTATGAAGATGAGAATGAGAAGGGTGTGTGTTGTGTTGTGTTGTGTTGTCTTGTGTTGTGTGTGTCCTAGCAAATCCATTTTCAAATAAAATGATGATTCCAAATCTCCTTGAACGGTTTCAACTCCTGGTGGAGTTTGACTTGTGCCAAGGGTGATGGAAATGTGGCTTTCTGTGGGAATGTTTTTTGGGAGTTGGCGCCTATTGGAACTATTCTTTACCCCATGGGTCATCAGGTTTAGCTTCCTTCTGTTAGCAAGCAAGTCAAGACTCTCAGACTGGAGTACGTAGGCTGACACATCTTTGCTCATGGACAGGGCCCAAGGAGGTTTTGGCGAGAAACTCCCGGATGAATGCTGGCATGGAACCGCAGCAAGTCCTGGGCCTTTCTTGTTTCTGTGCCTTCTCGAATACAACACCTGCTGTGTTCCTGGCAATGGCAAGATAGATGATCCTGTCTTGCAGAGGAGAAAGAGAGCAGTGATTCACCTGGGGTGATTGACCGGCAACAGGTGACCAGACAATACTGGTCATCCTCCTGCCTCTGCCTCCTTCAGCAACTCCTACCTGCATGCGCCACCATAACCGGCTAGACAGCACTAAGACTATAGGAGACAAAATGGACTCTGCTCCATTCAGTGAGCCTACATCTGTTATCAGGTGACAGGGCCTTGTGTTGGGTGTCCCGAGGCAGGAAGGGTCAAGTGTTTGAACACAAAGACTCTTCGTGGTCACCCTGTTTGTGGCCCTGATGACTTCAGTTGGATCATGCCTAGCTCTGATGCTTTCCCTTTCATGTATCCTGTGGCAACACACACATAAGGAATGGGAAAGGCCAGTCTGGGCCTGGTTTGAAGACTGAGACTAACAGATCATGTAACCTATTCATATTCACAGCCTCTTTGTGACTTTCAAGAAGCATTGCAGTGGACAGACACAGGGATGGGTGAAAGTTGTGGAGTGGAAGGGAAGAGAGGGAGGGAGAGTAACAGACAAAGAGAGAGAGATGTGTGTGTGTGTGTGTGTGTGAGAGAGAGAGAGAGAGAGAGAGAGAGAGAGACAGAGACAGAGACAGAGACAGAGACCAAGAGAGAGAGGAGAGGAGAAGATAGAGGAGTTGGGAGAAACAGAGAATGAGTCAGTGAAACACAGACAGAGAGTGACTGTCTGGAGGAGGTCTGTGGTTGGGTGTGTAGTGTGCTGACCAGGAGACAAGAGCACCCACAGACAAGCTGTATCAATGCCATAGGAAGTGGAGGAAGGCCTGATCATGGAAATCCTTGCAGGGCACAGGATCACCTGGACACCACACTGGCAGTATAAGGAGCCTTGCCTTCTTCACTGGCCACTTTTCCCTAGATCCTGGACTTTGATGGTCAGGCATGGCAGGGTGCAAGGGGAAAGTGTGGGCCACACTCCCCACATCTCTCTTCTGGCTACTGCATTCTGGATTCTGCTGCTGATGCCCACTAAGGGCCAGCACCAAAAGGTAAATGCTGGATTCTGGTCTCTTCTTCTCTGTCCCTTTGCTTTGTCAACTTTGTGGCCTGGTACACTTTCCTCCTCGGCTCCCCATACTCCTCCATTCCCCAGCAGAAGCAGAAGCAGAATACCCAGGCCAGGACAACAGGCTGAAAAACAGCTTGGGGACCCATCTGTGAGGAATCTGGTAACAGATCTCTCCTATGAGCTATTGGTGAAGTGTCCTGAGGGAGCCTAGCCTTCCCATTGTCAAAAGGTCCCATTTTAGTCCCTCCCAAGAGCATAGAGCCATGCCTACATCAGAATCAGGTCTTCCCTGGCCAAGATAGGGAGCTGAAGACTTGTAAGCCACCAAGATAATCAGGAACTTAAACATCCCACATGCCACCTCCTTGCCAATGGAACCAGTACCCTGGCCTGTGTAACATGGTACCAAAACCAAAAATAAGCCCAGAATACCCAGAGTAGCCAGCCAGTGTTGTCAACTCTTGTCTCCAGCCCATCACTCTCCCAGTAGAGGGGTGGAGGAGATGCTGTGTATACCCAGCGTGAGGATTCTAAAACTTCCCAGTGCTTTGTGGTCCACCAGGACTGCATTAAACTGCCAAGGTGGTTCAGTTCCTTGGTTGGCTCTCCCTTCAATATGCTTGTTCGGTGTTGGGAGCTATTGTGAAGTCAGACACACTGGCACTTCCCCCACTCTTTGTCTTCTTGAAAACCACCTGCCTGTGTGCTCTGTGTTGCTGCTCTGCTGATATCCAAGTAGAGTGTAGGCTGGTAACCTCCAGTAGCCACGAAGTTTCTGGGGAAGAAAAGAGTGCAGCTGAGCAGGATTGGCTCATCCTGTAGTAAGGAGCTGTGATGCCCAGGACCCTCCTGCTGCCTCAATAGCTCCTTGCATAGCCATCCCTCTGAGGTTTAGGCTCCAGTGTCTCAGTTTCTGGAACTGGGTGACATTGGGCTCTTCCTTGGAAACCAAACAACACCGCAATGTCTCATGCTGGGTCCAGGCAAGAATGTGAAGCCTCTGGGATAGCAGGAGGAATGCAAAAGTCAAAGGAGGGAATCAAAGCATCTGTGTCCCTCCTGGAGGGCGGTGTTGCCTGTGTAGCAGATGCCCAAAAAACCCATGGACACCTACTCTGCTGAAGAACAGGCGGAGCTCTATGGAGCAGAACAGCACCTTGGTGATGAAGCTTTGGCACAGAGGGCAATGTGGTCTGTGCCTTCAGAGTGAAGGGTAAGCAGAGGAGGGACAGAAGTCCCCGGGGAACACTGCTTGTAGGGGGAGGGAGGCTAAAGGAGGATCTGGGAACTCCTGCAATGTTGGTGGGGATAAACTGGTTTCTGGTTCTTCTGGACTTCCACCAGAGGCATCAGGCGCCACAGGTGGAGCTTAATACCAATACGAGGAGCCCAGAGCGAACCTTTTGCCATCATGCAGCTGAAAACATGAGACAGCCGACTAAATATTTAAAAATAGACGGAGCATAGATATACATAGAGCGAGGCAACAAGAGAAACAACAACAAACACGGATGAAGCAAACCATCCATAGCTAACTAGTGAAAGGATTTCTCCAAAAAAGCTGAGAACTAGAGGACATGGACTACTGATCCAGGAAGCATGAGTAACTTGTGTTTTATCCAGAAGCACAGAGGATCTCACAAGTAGCAGAGACAGGGCTACAAAAAGGAAGCACTCTGAGTCAGAGCAAGATCATCTCGGACCGGAAATGCGTTTGGGGTGGAAGGTGGATGGTGCCTTTGGGTTTTAAGCAATGGAGAACAGGGGGCTGCCCGCAAGAGAGCCATCCTCCTGGTTGAAGATCCACTTGGCTGTGTCAGAGCTGCTCCTGCACATGGTGGAGCAGAGCATGCCCTGACCAAGGGGGACCCTCTTTCTGTCCCTGACCAGCTCTGGTTTATCCCACCCCGAAGTCCACTCCTGTCTCCCCTATATGCGCTCCAGGCTCCTTGCTCCAGGCTCCTGGTTCCTGGCTCCTGGCTCCTTGTTCCCCTCTCCCTGTTCCCTTACCCTGCTTCCCACTCCCCACTACCTGCTCCCTGCTCCTCACTTCTTTCATCTGGCTCCCAGCTCCCTGCTCCACTCTGAGGGAGCTGGATGCCTGGGACTCCCTGGACACACCACTCTCACAACCAGACCAGAGAAATCCCGTGCCAAACAAAGTAAGGCTCCCTGGGATATGGAGCCTGCACATTTCACCTCAGGCAGCCCACCACCACCACCTTGCAATATGTCCTCTGTCCAACCAAGTCCCTGTGGAGCTAGGTTCCAGACCAAGTTTGGGCTTTGGCCGCGCCCAGTGGGGAGCAGGCCGGCAAATGGGCTCCAGTGTGGTGGCCTCTCTGCTGACATGACTCAGAGGGAGCCTTGGCCAGAGCACTGTCAAGAAGTGCACTATTAAAGCAAAAGCCATGAATGGGTCTTTCCTTGCTTTATTCTCGCGCATCCCCTGCTGGACAGCTTAGGAATCATTATGCTTGGGCAAGCTGCCTGTGCTCCCTCTCTTGTTGGGGCTGATGCTGGGCTGCAGCACAGCCTGCTCACTTGACAGGGGCGCCTTCTGGAGCATGCACTCTCAGCGAATTGAAACTCTAGTATTCCTATGAAAGCTAAAAATCATGCTGGTTCTCCTGTGCCTGCAGGACAGAAACGATTTCAGTTGTCCCTGGAAGAAAGGGCCTGTCACCCAAGGGAAGCAGAGAGAAGAGGCCCCCTGTTACTACTCCGAGATGCTGGGGCAGGTCCTCAACCTCTTTGCCACAGAGTCCAGCAGACGTGCCTGGCCAGAGCTGGTGCTTGGTCAAATTCTCAATACTCTGGTGATTGGCCTGGAAGCTTTGGTGGGGACAGGGGAGCAAAGCCTGTCCTGCCTACCTACTTTTGTCTTGGCCATCTGCACCTACTTCTCACGAATCTCTGGCTATCTGGAGGGCAAGTGATACAACCCTTGCTCCTGGGAAATCATCAGGGCAGAATTGCAAATGGTCCTTGCCACATTTACTGTGCCTGCAGAGAGAAGCCCCAAGAAGAGAAGTGCCATGCCTGAATCAATGCTGATATGACATCATGCTAGGGTCCTCAAGTCATAGCACACAAGCAGAGTCCAATCTGGCACTAAAAACAGTACACGATAATCATCCATGTATTTTGAAGTGTCTTCTCCAGCAGCCTCTATGAAGATGAGAATGAGAAGGGTGTGTGTTGTCTGGTGTTGTGTGTGCCCCAGCAAATCCATTTCCAAATAAAATGATGATTCCAAATCTCCTTGAATGGTTTCTACTCCTGGTGGTAGTTTGGCGTGTGCCAAGGGTGATGGAAATGTGTCTTGATGTGAGAATGGATTTTGGAGGTGGTGCCTATTG